AGTAGTAGTAGTAGTAGTAGTAGTCTATCATTTTTAGGAATTCTAAATAAATTATTTAAATTCTAAATAATTTATTTATAATATTTTAATTATATAATTTACATATGTGACCCTGGACCACAAAACCAAAAAAAGTCTTAAAAAGAGATTTGATGTTTATCTGCTTACCCCCAGGGCATCTAAGATGTAGAACACAAACGAAGATTTTCAACTCAAACCGTTGTAGTCTGTCAGTCTTATAATAGAAGTGAATGGGAATCACGGCTTTGAGTGTCAAAAAAACTGAGCACATTCGCATCTTCTTCAGCCGGCGTGTGATGCATCTTATTCTTCTTCTTGCTTTACGGCAGATAGCAGACTTATAAGTGCATTACCGCCACCCATCTCTCAAAATGAACCATTGACACTCCTAACTGAGATTGTAGATAGAGTGTCAAGTGTCCATTTGAGAGATATGTAGCGGTAATGCACTTATAAGTCTGCGATCCGCCGTAAAGCAAGAAGAAGAAACGTCTCCTTTAGCTATATTTTCCATGTGACATTTTGGTTTAGTTATGCACCATCTAATCAGCTTCAAATGCAAAAATGCCTGTTGAGTAAAATAACTCATGCAAAGATTCAGAACCAGTGAATCTCCTATCTGTGGAGTTTATCTCAGAGTAAACCTGTACCTGCAGTACTTAAAGTGACCCTATCATGCCATTTCGAATACTGCCTTTCATGCAGTAATGTAGCTGTATGTGAATGTAAACGATCTGCAAAATTGAAAAGTGGAAAGAGCATAAATAAAGTTAGTCTCCCAAAAGAAAGAATATACTCTGAACAGCCTAAACGAGTCCTCAGTTATTCGAATCCCAGTTCCGTAACAGCTAACACATTTGCTTAATGCCCGCCTACATTTTACGTTTGTTTTACGTTGTCTCTCCTGAAACTCCGCAGTGTCTGTGTGGATAGATTATATACAGAAAGCGAGCAAAGAGCGCTCCCTTTATAATCAAACTCTCATTAATTTGAGCTGCAGTGCGAATGGCTACAATACTCAATGTTGCAAATCACTCTGTAAATAGAAACCTTTGACAGTCTTCAGACCGCAGAGCATGAACAACTAAGCACAGGACTGTTTGAAAGCAACTGCCTATCAGCAGGTACCGAACGGAGTCGAAGTAGTCTTGGATATTGGACCCGCAGTCCACCCGTGCCTACTGATTCCACGATCTGCACCAGTTATGGTTCGCTTGCAGGACTCTGGTTTCTCTTACAGCTCACTTAGTATCACAGTACTACCTGGTACATGTTGAGGACTTGCTGGTCTTTGTGGTCGTCATGTTGGTCCAGTCTCTTTTGCAGCAGCTGAGCTCTGTCCTTCACCCTACACAAGAGCTGACAACGCAACAAAACAGACACGAGCCAATCAGAACATGCCTCCAATGTCCTCTGGCCAATCAAAGCTTGAGCTGACATCACTTCCTACCTTCTTTAACAGACTGACAGTCTGCTGTCTGACTCCTGGTGACTGACTGTTTAGATTAAAGGGCAGGAAGTAGCAGATTAGCTCTATTTCCTGTCTGGACAGTGTTTCCGTGCTGCGATGGCTCTCACATATCAAACCCAGAGCATCCATTCGCACCTGAATTCACATAAACAGCCTTCATTTCCCTTTGTGTTATCGATATTACCCGATTTAACATGTCAGACGTTAATTATTAAAGGTTCAGTTAAGTAAATAATTCAGTTAATATAATGCAGTTCCAGTTTACCTGATCGTGTTTGTGCACCAGAGCCTGTCGCTTTAGTGGGAGCGGCACCAGGCCACCCCACAATTCTTCCTCCACAGACTTGAGAACACCCTGAGACCGGGCGGCACGCAGACACGTCATCAGAGCCCCCAACATACCTCTGCTGCCAGCTTACCCCGAGGAACCAACACTTAACAAAAAAAATCTATAAAATTTTTCTTTCTATAATTCAATAAAAATATTTTCTAAAAATATTCCACACTCAAATGCCCCAAAATTATTTATACACATATATACACCGATGAATACTGCAAACATCTGAAACTGCAAAAAAATAAATAATAATAAATTAGATATAAAAATAATATAATTAAATTAGATAAAAAATGAAATTAAATAAAAAGAATAATAAAATTAAATAAAAATGTATGATTACAATTTCTGTAAATTAGTTTAACGTGTCTGTTTCAATCTCTAAGCATCATCATTCTTAAACTAAAATGTAGTATCAATATTACATAAATTATAAATTATTATGCATTGCTATTTTGGAGATAAAAATGATTTGATCATTCTTTCTTGAGTTCATTTAGTGATAAACATGGTTCCGAGGCAGCTTTACAGAAAATAAATTAATAAATACGTTAAATAAATCTTACCGCTGCTTAAGAAACATTGCTATTATTATAAATTGCAAAAACATTTTTGTGAATTCATATATATATATATAATGAAAGTCTGTTCATAAGAACAATCAAAAATAAAAATCTTTCGTAACATTATAATGTCTTCACTGCACATACACAAGACCCTTACCCTCTGTGCAAGTCGGCATCTCCTGCAGGGCCTGTACCATGTGGCTAAGGCTGGAGGGGTTGCAGCGTAGCAGTTTGGGCAGAAAGTAGTCAAGCATATAAGTTGTTTGATCCAATCGAGCTGTGCACAGTACCTGCAGCAGAGGCCTCACCCAAACTTCATGCCACCCATCTATCCAGACATCCCCATCCCTAAACCGGGCACACAACTGGGCTTTATGTCTGACAAGCTTCTCCAGAAGGTCGCTGGCATATGGTTCCATCGTCCGATCCCCCATCAGACCCAGCAGTCTGGATGGCAGTCCACCATCAAGCTTGAGTAGATACTCTGCGCCGAAGTGCTCCTCCATGCAGGCCAGTGTGCCATACTTCCCTTTCATATGCCACTCCAGTGCTAGAAGGTCCCGGGAGAGCTGGGTGATGTAAGGGTCGCTGGTGGGATCGGACTTGTGGTCGCTGCAGTGCTGGTGGAGCGTGAGGAGGTTCTGGAACAAGGAGCGCGTCTGGTGCCGAACTCCATCCAGCGGGTGCTCCCAGTGGGCATAAATGTGGTGGTGAAGGCGTGCGATTAGAGGAGAGCCTCCAACCAGAGACAAGCGAAGAAGAGGGGGACACATGTCCACCTGGTCGCAGTCAACCGCAGCTCCACTCCAAAGTGTCAAAACTCGAGCCACTACCATCACGACTCCTTCACTCTGAGAGAGAGATTCATGTCAGAGAGTAGTTCAAATGGAAATCCAAGCTGATCAACTTCAAAATGAACTAAAAACAGCAGTACAATGTGAATTAGGGGATGAATTTAGAGATGCAACTTACTTTGAGAGTAAAACAAAATGTGAAAAAATGCATTTAATTACCCTTTCATTTTGCTTTCTCACAACAGATATTGAGAAATCATGGATATTTTTCCCAATGACAGTCATTTTTACCTATATTACATGTGAAGAGAAAATACTACTTTGAAATTAGACCTTTTACCTTATAACATAAAATGGTCGCTAAAAAAAAAAAAAAAAATAGTTTTTAACATGGTTTATATCGTGTCTTTCTAGGGAGTTTCTTATTTCCTGTCACTTTTTATCTTGCTCTGTAAATATTTACTGTAATGCAGCTTCAGAATTTTTTGTGAAAAACTCTGCACGAAAGACAAATATACACTACCGTTTCTCAGTATTTTTCTAAATTCTTTTAATACTTTCAACTGTCAGCAAGGATGATTTAAATTGATCAAAAGTGACAGTGAACATATTTATAATATTACAAAAGTTAAAAAATGCTGTTCTTTGAACTATTTGTTCATCAAAGAATATTCTTTAAAAAAACAACACAGTTTACACAATAAATATCAAGCAGCACAACTCTTTTCAGCAGTTGATGATAACTGATAATAAGAACATTTATAATACAACTTTTCCCAGCATATTATAATGATTTATGAAGGATCATGTGACACTGAAGACTGGAGTAATGATGCTGAAAATTCAGTTTTGCATCACACATTTTAAAATTAATTAAAATAGAAAACAGCTATTTTAAATTGTAATAAATGTCACAATATTACTGTTTTTTCTGTATTTTTGATCAAATAAATGCAACCTTGGTGACCATAAGAGACTTCTTTCAGAAACTTTTTTTTAATCTTACAGACCCGGAACTTTTAAAAGATAGTACCGGTATATAAAAAAAAATGTATAGAAAATGTTTCTTGTTCAAGTTTTGTATGTTCTTTGTGTGAATGCGTTTGGTATTCAGTACCTTGTATCTAGAGACAGGAGCACTTCAGGTATGAGCAGCAGCAGTTTCTCAGCCTGTGGACCGAGAGTTCTTCCTCTCCAGCTGAGCATAGCCAGAGCTCCATGACTTACATACAGAGCCACAGCTGCAGGCTTGCTGCTCTCATACATGCCTGCGCAGCTCTGTCTCAGCCATTGGGTGGCGATGCTGCCTGCATCCACCGAACACTGCAGGAGACCCTCAACCTAGAAACACATTCCCCACTTAACAGCGCTTCCACAGTCAGGAATAGGTTCAAATGCAGCTGAAGTTGAGACAAGGTACAGAATAAGCTTCTTCAGTGGTGGTGCTTGACGAGGCTATAGCCCCATAAGAAACTTGCTTAGCCCCGGCACAGCCCCCCAAGGATTTCCTAATGATGTTCGTGTTTTTTGGATCATGTGACACTGAAGACTGGAGTAATGATGCTGAAAATTCAGTTTTGCATCACACATTTTAAAATTAATTAAAATAGAAAACAGCTATTTTAAATTGTAATAAAATGTCACAATATTACTGTTTTTTCTGTATTTTTGATCAAATAAATGCAACCTTGGTGACCATAAGAGACTTCTTTCAGAAACTTTTTTTTAATCTTACAGACCCGGAACTTTTAAAAGATAGTACCGGTATATAAAAAAAAATGTATAGAAAATGTTTCTTGTTCAAGTTTTGTATGTTCTTTGTGTGAATGCGTTTGGTATTCAGTACCTTGTATCTAGAGACAGGAGCACTTCAGGTATGAGCAGCAGCAGTTTCTCAGCCTGTGGACCGAGAGTTCTTCCTCTCCAGCTGAGCATAGCCAGAGCTCCATGACTTACATACAGAGCCACAGCTGCAGGCTTGCTGCTCTCATACATGCCTGCGCAGCTCTGTCTCAGCCATTGGGTGGCGATGCTGCCTGCATCCACCGAACACTGCAGGAGACCCTCAACCTAGAAACACATTCCCCACTTAACAGCGCTTCCACAGTCAGGAATAGGTTCAAATGCAGCTGAAGTTGAGACAAGGTACAGAATAAGCTTCTTCAGTGGTGGTGCTTGACGAGGCTATAGCCCCATAAGAAACTTGCTTAGCCCCGGCACAGCCCCCCAAGGATTTCCTAATGATGTTCGTGTTTTTTGGTGTCACTTTCATTAACATTGAAAAATAAACATTAAAAACCTAAATAAAATAGTGCCTAATATGTGCCCTATAAACAATTGATATTATGGGGGAGGGGTCAAGCAACACAAGCAAGCTACAAGAGTTATGCCGGTGAACGTCAGTAAATTCACTATAGAGAATGTGAAAGTAAAAAAAACTGACGGAGCTTTCTAACGCTGCATTAACAGCGCATATCTCCGAGACAACGAGAGACGAAACTACTTCAACATATATTCGACATACTATCATAACAAAATTAACAATTCGTCTAACTCTCGCATGCTCTTTAAAACATTGTCCTCCCTCCTTTGACCTCCTCCTCCCCCTCCTTCATCAACTCTTAACAGCTGACGACTTTGTCACATTCTTCTTTAATAAAATTAAAACCATCAGTGCACAATTTTCCACACCACAATCTGTCAAGCACATCTTACCAGCAAACATACACTCGTTCACATCCTTCACTTCACTCTCTGAGGCAGAAGTCTCCAAACTCATCCTTTCTAATCATCCTACTACTTGTCCACTTGATCCTATTCCATCTCATCTTTTTCAAGCCATTTCTCCTACAGTTGTACCTGCACTCACTCACATCATTAACACATCCCTTCACACTGGTGTTTTTCCCTCAGCATTTAGACAGGCTTGTATAATCCCATTACTTAAGAAACTCACCCTTAACCCATCTCTTTTAGAGAACTACAGACTGGTTTCCCTTCTTCCTTTCATTGCAAAAACACTTGAACGAGCTGTGTTTAACCAAGTCTCTGCCTTTCTCACACACAGAACAACCTCCTCAACAGCAACCAGTCTGGTTTCAGAAGTGGGCATTCAACAGAGACTGCTTTGCTCTCAGTTGTTGAAGTCCTAAGACTGGCAAGAGCGGATTCCAAATCTTCAATACATATCTTGCTGGAACTGTCCGCTGCATTTGACACGTTAACCACCTGATCATCCTTTCAAACCTATTGGCAAAAGGCATCTCAGGAACCACACTCCAGTGGTTTGAGTCTTATTTCTCAGATAGTTCCTTCAAGATATCTTGGAGAGGTGAGGTGTCCAAGTCACAACAGCTAACTACTGGGGTGCCTCAGGGCTCAGTTCTTGGACCACTTCTCTTCTCCGTCTACATGGCATCACTATGTTCTATCATTCAGAAACATGGCTTTTCATATCACTGCTATGCTGATGATACTCAACTCTACCTCTCGTTCCATCCTGATGATCCGACGATAGCTTAGAAACACATTCCCCACTTAACAGCGCTTCCACAGTCAGGAATAGGTTCAAATGCAGCTGAAGTTGAGACAAGGTACAGAATAAGCTTCTTCAGTGGTGGTGCTTGACGAGGCTATAGCCCCATAAGAAACTTGCTTAGCCCCGGCACAGCCCCCCAAGGATTTCCTAATGATGTTCGTGTTTTTTGGTGTCACTTTCATTAACATTGAAAAATAAACATTAAAAACCTAAATAAAATAGTGCCTAATATGTGCCCTATAAACAATTGATATTATGGGGGAGGGGTCAAGCAACACAAGCAAGCTACAAGAGTTATGCCGGTGAACGTCAGTAAATTCACTATAGAGAATGTGAAAGTAAAAAAAACTGACGGAGCTTTCTAACGCTGCATTAACAGCGCATATCTCCGAGACAACGAGAGACGAAACTACTTCAACATATATTCGACATACTATCATAACAAAATTAACAATTCGTCTAACTCTCGCATGCTCTTTAAAACATTGTCCTCCCTCCTTTGACCTCCTCCTCCCCCTCCTTCATCAACTCTTAACAGCTGACGACTTTGTCACATTCTTCTTTAATAAAATTAAAACCATCAGTGCACAATTTTCCACACCACAATCTGTCAAGCACATCTTACCAGCAAACATACACTCGTTCACATCCTTCACTTCACTCTCTGAGGCAGAAGTCTCCAAACTCATCCTTTCTAATCATCCTACTACTTGTCCACTTGATCCTATTCCATCTCATCTTTTTCAAGCCATTTCTCCTACAGTTGTACCTGCACTCACTCACATCATTAACACATCCCTTCACACTGGTGTTTTTCCCTCAGCATTTAGACAGGCTTGTATAATCCCATTACTTAAGAAACTCACCCTTAACCCATCTCTTTTAGAGAACTACAGACTGGTTTCCCTTCTTCCTTTCATTGCAAAAACACTTGAACGAGCTGTGTTTAACCAAGTCTCTGCCTTTCTCACACACAGAACAACCTCCTCAACAGCAACCAGTCTGGTTTCAGAAGTGGGCATTCAACAGAGACTGCTTTGCTCTCAGTTGTTGAAGTCCTAAGACTGGCAAGAGCGGATTCCAAATCTTCAATACATATCTTGCTGGAACTGTCCGCTGCATTTGACACGTTAACCACCTGATCATCCTTTCAAACCTATTGGCAAAAGGCATCTCAGGAACCACACTCCAGTGGTTTGAGTCTTATTTCTCAGATAGTTCCTTCAAGATATCTTGGAGAGGTGAGGTGTCCAAGTCACAACAGCTAACTACTGGGGTGCCTCAGGGCTCAGTTCTTGGACCACTTCTCTTCTCCGTCTACATGGCATCACTATGTTCTATCATTCAGAAACATGGCTTTTCATATCACTGCTATGCTGATGATACTCAACTCTACCTCTCGTTCCATCCTGATGATCCGACGATAGCTACTCGCATCTCAGCTTATCTAAAAGACATTTCTTGCTGGATGAAGGACCACCACCTTCAACTCAACCTTGCCAAGACAGAACTGCTGAAACTGAAATGAACAGAATCGTTTAATCACAATTTCACCATCCAGTTAGGCTCATCAACCATAACTCCTTCAAAAACAGCCAGAAACCTTGGAGTTATGATTGATGATCAGCTGACTTTCTCAGACCACACTGCTAAAACTGGTCCTGAAGATTTGCTTTATTCAACATCAAGAAGAGCAGGCCCTTTCTTTTGAAACATGCTTCACAACTCCTTGTTCAAGCTCTTGTTCTGTCCAGGCTGGACTATTGCAATGCTCTCTTGGGAGGTCTTTCAGCAAGTTCTTTCAAACCTTTACAATTAATCCAGAACGCGGCAGCAAGATTAATTTTTAACAAGCCAAAAAGAATGCACATCACACCTCTGTTTTTCAGTTTGCACTGGCTACCAGTAGCTGCTCGCATAAAATTCAAGGCATTAATGTTTGCCTACAAAACCACCACTGGCTCTGCACCCCTTTACCTAAATGCATTACTTCAAACGTATGTGCCCTCTAGAAGCTTGCATTCTGCAAGTGAATGGCGCTTTATTGTGCCATCCCAAAGAGGCACAAAATCACTTTCTCAGATTTTTAACTTAAATGTTCCCTCCTGGCGGAATGACCTGCCCAACTCAGTCCGAGCAGCTGAGTCTTTAACCATCTTCAAGAATTGGCTAAAAACACATCCGTTCCATCTTTATTTGACCCTCTAACTCTAGCAATCTCTATTCTTTATAAAAAAATTAATAAAAATAGTGTCCCTTTTAGACTTGCACTCTATTTATTTACTAACTGCTTGTTTTCTTAAAAAAAAAAAAAACTAACACTTGCTTCTCTAATCTTTTGCATTCTATCTATTTGTTTTCTTTTTATTTATTATACAATTATAATTCTTACTTCCTTATTTCTGATGACTTCTGATTAACAAAAGCAAAAAAGGCCTCTAACACTAACTTGCTCTATTCTTTTTCTATTCTATCGGTTTTCTTTTTATTTATTATATGATTACAAAAAAAACTTGCTACGTGTACTGCATTAAGCTACCTGAGACTTGTTTATTTTGATTGCTTACATTGTCCTCATTTGTAAGTCGCTTCGGATAAAAGCGTCTGCTAATTGTCTAAATGCAAATGTAAATATGCTGATAACGGTATATAACTGTCTTAAATTGTTCCCTTAATATTTCTCTTGTATAGTGAAAAACACGATAAGAAACGTATTTCGTGTTAAACAGGTTGTTTTTGAAAATCGGTGCACAAAATAAAGCTGCTCTTAATTTTCATTTATGACTGCAGTGTTAATAATTGTAATTATATGCCC